TCGACAATAATTCCTTGATTTAATCACAAGCCTACTATAAAATATCCGCACTTGATATACTTCGTCCGTCGTGCGCCGCGTTCTTGTCTTCCCTCTCTATCCCCAAAACAAATTAGCCGACGATTTGTATGTAATTGTTTTCACATAATCGCGAATCTTATATGACAAACGTCACATACACACAATGAAGCGGCCTGATATCATATTGTATAAATTTATTTGATAAAATTTATCTTCGTATAATCGACTGCAAAATGGGTTCGCTTTTATATGTTGAAATTGAGAAATGGGCTTCTGAAATTTTCTGAAAAAAAAATAGTACGATAATGTAATTTAAGAAAATAATTTATAGCGTAATAATTAAAAGATATCTTTTATAACTTTGTTAAATTATCAAATCTAAATATAAATTTGTACTTGTAATAAATATTAAAGAAAAACTTGTTTTTTTAAGTAATTAATTTGACAATTAATAAATTGACAATAAATTGACTATTGTCAAATTAATCATATATCAATAATTAATAATATATTAATAATAATTAATCAATATTAATAAAAATTTACATATATTCTTTCCATATTTATCAAAGAACATCTAGCAGTCTGAATGATTAATTGTTTTTTATGAGTAAATAAATTTTTTTTTTTTAAGAATTAATCATTTATAAATTAAATATATTTATATTAATGGTATTCAAGGCATATATAAGAGTTCTCAAAACATTATCAGAAGCTGGAACTATTTCTTTTCTTATCTCTTTCATAATAAAGTCGCCCATTTAAGAATTCAAGATAAGCAATCACTGCACTTGTTTTTACATAATCGCGAACCTTATACGACAAATACGTCACATACAACGGAACGGCCGGACATCGTGTTGTATAAATTTATTTGACGAAATCTATTCTTCTACAATCGACTGCAATAATGTGTTCGTCTTTATATGTATATTGAAGTTTTATCATGACAGTTATCTAGTCACCGTAAACAACGCGCGGGACTGGCCGTGTCTAATAGTTTATTATCACTTCGCTTGAACAGGATTAATCATGAAGATCTTCTACCTAATAGTGCTATACTAAGTCCGGTTTACAAAATTCAGCTAAATCACTGTACAAAACGATAACAATGAATTAAGCCGCGTTGGTACGGAACATTCGCGCAGTTACGGTGACAGATAACACTCGTACCTTCAAATAAAGAATTCGTTTGGTTCACACGATTGTCGCAACACGTACTCGCTTCCGTTATCCTCGAGCGAAAATGTGCTAATATTATTTCGGTTTTTCAATGCGCATCGAAATAATTTAAATGATTCACACGCAACCTAACGATTTGTATAGAATACGGATGAGACGTAATGAAACGTGATAATAAAATAGAATGAATTGAAAAGAACTGATAAAATTCTCTGACAATGATATCGCTTGTTCTTTAGATGTCAAACTTTTATATCAGATACAAGCTATATCCGATGTAATTCTAATACTTTTTCTAGTTATGATAACAGTCATTGTCATCCAAATAAATATAACAGTTACTCAATACTTGATATCTATAATGAGTAACTTGCCGCAAATTATGTATAACATATATTTAAGTCGTAGAATTTCGAATTTTTTTTGCTTTCTTCCAAACGTTTTTTTTTATGTAATTGTACTATATCTTTACAACAAAAACGAGAACGTTTTTTCTTAAGTTTCGTACGTCTCAATCCGTAATTCTAGAACTCACGCATTGTAAAATAATAAGTGCAACGAAATATGTATCCAAGAGTACTTTGCACAAATCGTTATTTCGCGCATGGAATTGAAAGATCGTCATCGCGCATAACATGGTTCTTTCCCCTTAAGCCTGAATGAGTAATATGCAAAATGCAATAGATTCCATGATAAATAACTCATCTAAGAAGTGCCTTTCATATCATTAGATCAGCCACATTAATCTTTAGACGCTTGCGCTCGATTCAAAATAGTTGAGCTATTGTTCACAATGTAATTTCAATAAAGTAATTAATTATTTTTTATATGTGCTTGTTTAAATTGCATATGTAAAATAAAGTATAATAAATTCAGAGAATACACATTGATATTTACATATCGTTGATTTATTTCCAAATTCATAATTACCTGATTAAAATTACTAAATTTTATTTCGTGTAAAAAAAAGAAATTGAACTTTTTATGTTTAGAAACAGAAGTAGACAATAAAAAATTCGTCTATATTTTCAAGAGAATAACTCTATATTTACTTGTCATTCTTGCTTTATTCATGATTTTTATAGATATGTTGACATTTAATTATTAATTTTTCTCATTATTTATTCTTCCAAAAAAAAAGTTAACGGTACTGGAAAAAATTAACGATTCATCTTCGTAAAAAAATTTTTTATCTTTCTTTCAACACATTTTAGTAAAAGTTTTCCTAAATAATTTTACAGTGCAGATTTTAAGTATTTGTAATTTTGAAACATTACTCATCCAAGCCTAAAATATATTAATTAAGCAACCAAAGAAACGATTCCTCTCAATATTCGAACATGTAGAAATAATTGTTTCGTATTGTTACATGCGATCAATATACGTGCGTGTGCGTGTGATTAATCGTATATGTATAACATTACATAATCCGAGAACCATACAAATCGCAATAAAAAGGAATCACATGATCAAAAAGATGACAGTTATGACAAAAGAGACAGAAGACGCGTAAGAAGCGAAACCTTCGGACGTGTAATTATCGAGAACGTCATCGGAAGCGGTTTCTATTTGACAAGAGAAAAGAAAAAATAAAAGAGACTCCTTGCCGAAAAAAAAAAACTTAATACCTAATTAGTACGAATTAGCTAGGAGAGATCTATCGCGGTTTCTTTAATTTAAATTAACCGTAAAATTAACAACTAATCAGTATTCGTACAATGATAAGAACACTAGCGTAAACACGAGCAAAAACGTGAGATTGGATGATATACCGTACGTTTAACACACCCGTAATACGATTCATCATGCGCGATATACAATAATAAAAAGTCGAGGATGGCAGTACAGCGGTAACCAATTAAACACCGGAGCTCAAACTGCCTTGTTCTTAATAATATTTAGTTGCCTCGTCAGTATTTACAGTGTACATCGACAATCAATACCGTTAAGTCTACTTAGAGATTTCTCTCTCACGTGTCCTCAGAATTGTTTTACATCAAATGTGTAGTAACTCGATACGTGCGTACATACATTTCGTCACCATCCCGTTATATTGTAATACGTTCGTTCCCTTTCTCGCTTTCAGACAAAAAAAGAGAAAAAAATGTACACCCACCTGACTTCGAATTCAGAGCACACCTATAATTCAACACCTAAATTTAGCGCATATTACACTTCCTTTCTCTCTTCGCTAAAAGGTATCTCTATGTATATATACTTTTTTACATATATACTTATATATTTATATTTATATATGCACTGTGTGTGTTCCAGGGCACCGAAACTTGCTGCGTCGAAGGCATCTCGTGGCTATTGTTGTATCATTTATTTAGACTTTCTCTTTAAATAAATAAATTGCGATCACTTTTTCGTTTTTTTTTTCTTTTCTTTGCTTAATAACATGGACGTCAGAGCATCTGTACTCAATGGTGATAAGAGGAGAGACTAAAAGTATTCCATAGCTCCCTAATTTTCCCGCTTACGTTACACTCGTCGTCGATTTAACTCCTAGCATAGTGCAGAAAATAGTTTTTATTTTTCTTTTTTTTCTACTAGCTTTATTCGCGGGTGATTTTCTTCTTTTTTTCTCTTTGTTTAAATTACTTGCTTAACTCATAGTACACCGTAATCTAGGCGCTCTCTGCTTTGTTTAAACTACTTGGAGACTTCATTCAGTAAACGGCATTAAGATACATACGCAGGCGGAGTAGTCGTACGAAACTAATCTCTTCGTCGAATGTACAGTATAGCGTGGTTGCGTGATTATTAAGTGGAGACACGCCGGAACGTTACGTGGAAGGAGCGTTGAGAATTTTCTTTTTATACATGTACTATATATTATCCAAACGCAATTACGTTTCGAACGCACATGCGTGCAATCCTTTGTTTAACGTATAGGTACTTCTGTGTGTATGTATGTATGTTTGTTATCTTAAATGTTATCTAGTCTTTATCGTTATTACGCTATTTTTTTACCAAGGTGCCCTGGCTGTCAGCAAAACTACGAAATGTAAATCGTAAAATTGTTTACAGTGCAATCGAAAGAAAAGGTATTCGGTTCCATCGAGTGTTAAAATACACGGGCGTGTGTACGATTTTCTATACACTGTCGCAACACACTGCCATTTCTTTATCGTTTTCCATCGAAGAAGTGGCATGTCTAGCTCATCTCTTTCGTTTAAACGTACGGATTTGTTGGGCTGTCTGTTAGGAACCTTAATAAGGCAACGAAGGAGCCCTGAATCTTACAAGTGTAATCTTTCTTTCTCCCTTCTTACGCCTTTTTACGGTATCTTTTAAAGTCTAGCATCCTTTATCGTGTATTCAGACACGGCTAAATGTTTATTATTGCCTTACAAGAGAAAGAGAGACAGAGAAAGAGAGAGGCCCGGTACCGAAAATTTACCATTACATAATGCTGTGGAATCATGTAATGATAAACGTGTAAAATATATCAGAATTTTTTATACATATTATGAAAAGCTTCGCGCGCGTGTCGTTAATTCTATTAGTAATTCTCCTAGTTTCGTGAACGGACTTAAGCTCTCAAAAGTAGCGCACAAAAATACATAATATTATAAAATTTTATCACAACAACTTTTAAATTTTCAAGACATATTGAAATACTATTAATCGCATATATACAACATCAATAAAAGCATAGCATCCGCTAACAGCCAAAAGGTCCGAAGATAGCAGATATTTTCAACAACTTCATATATATCACAGAGAGTTAATTATAAATATAACGTTTGAACAGAGAGAAAAAGAGAGCTTGATTCAAGAGCTTAGCCGAGCTTTCTACAAATGTATTTCGTAAGATAAAATTTCATCGACACGCGCGCCGTATAGATAAATAAGAAGTACGTGAGGATCACGGAACCGAGACTCTCTCCGATCATTTCCGTTTAATACCATTACCACAGAGAGCTTATTATGCTACGCTTCGCACAAAACGCCTCCTCCGCGGCACGACAAGAGTAAAGAATAATGCTTCTCGACGAGGATCACCGTGAGTCACACAACGAAAGACTTCGCTCGCATCGCCTTAACGCGTATTATCGATGCACGCGTCGAGACGTGCAACATTCATGTATTGTGCACTTTTATCGCTATACTCTTCTATATCTGCCCGCCTGTCTGCTTGATTGATCGAGCTTGTCACCGCTCGCGACTGTTGATATCCGTGATTGACGCTGCACGTATTCACGATCCGTGCTCATCACGTATATACAAATAAGAATGATTCGATACTTAAACTGCGCCCAAAAGCGAGACAGATCAACCATCCGCTGTACGCGACACCATTGTCGTTGATGGCGGCGGATGAGGATGATGTACCAAGGCCGGAATTTCGATCACGTCAGCTGGCTGCTGATTGGCGACGGCACTGTTGATCGAGCAGGAAGTGAGGGGTTGCTATTTCTTGGTCGGTGTGCCCCGTTGTGTCAGACCCTCGAAGCGTTTGAAGGTGTAATTAATGAATACCCAGTCCTTGTATATTACCTCACCGTCCTGTGGCATCGGTGCGGACGCTATAATGAGGCAAAACGAAAGGATGAAGTGTGTATGTTAAAGATTATTGAAGCAATTGAATAATAATAAGGCAAATATAAATTAATCCGTAAGTATTCGCATGGAAATCAATTTTATCCACGCTTTAATTTATATCTATACTTTATGTGTAAATAACATTTTTATTTATAAATAATTATAAATTGAGGCATGTTTCAAACATACAATAAGATAATAATTTTCAAATATTAAAGATTAAAAGAAGTACGTATATTAAAAATATTTCTTTAGTAATATTTTCATTCGTTTATGTCCATACATCTAGTTTGACCACACAAATATTTACAGATTAAGAAAAAGGTATATACGTACGTATCTCTAATTTCACGTCTGGAAACTCGTCGAAGTTCGACGTGTCGTCGATAGATCGTACTTCGACCGGTATAGCAGCTGGTCTTTCCCTAATGTGCTCGCAATCGACACCGCGGAAAAAAGGCGCTAATTTGAGTTCCTCGATGCCTCTTTGCGCTCCTATAAAGAACAATCACGATAAAGATTAATCATTGTGAAAGATTCTTTTCATTTTAATAATTCTAGAGAAAGATATAGAAATTTACCTAATCTTCTATCGGCTTCGCAGCAAAATCTGATAATGGTATCTTTAGCCTCTTCACTAATGGGAACTTCCGGTGGAAACACTAACGTTTCTCGCCAGTTCATTACTTTTCTATACGTCTCCTGTGGATTTTCACTGCAGAATGGTGGATATCCTAAAATAGTTACGTTATTATTAATTTTAACTTTAAATTAATTTTTAAAAAACTTTTATAATATGTTCATTTTTAATAACTATCTCTTGTAATCAATGTCATACTTATACATATCATTATTCGATATATGTGTAATAACATTTTATCATTTTATATTAGTAATGTATAATATAACAAAGAAATATGTATTTTCGTAGAATAATAGAATAATTAACTAATATGAATAAATCATCTATTAAGTAGATTGTTTTTGAAATAATTTAATAGTTATGAATGAAGTTTGTAAAAAGAAAAATACACATCATACCTATAAGCATCTCGTACATAATAACTCCCAAGGACCAACAGTCGCAAGCCGGTCCGTAACCTGTTTGCAGAAATACTTCCGGCGCGATATAGTCTGGAGTGCCTACCGTGCTGTAAGCCAGCGCTCTCCTGTTTCTTTTCCAGCTCTCGGCTCTCCTTTTACTGTCCATCGCGCCGCCGCTTCCACTCCCGCATGATGTCACTGCGTGAACACAGACAAGACATCAGTTAAATCATAAATCGACACGATGTAAATATTTCTCTTTAACCCATGCAAAAGACGTCGTTATTTACTGAAATCGGAAGGTTTCGCTTGACTCAGGTCTCGGTAAAAATCAGTCCTATGTGATTTCTTCAAACCCGTGCACAGTCCAAAATCAGAAAGTTTTATATGGCCCCGTGCATCTAGCAACAGGTTGTCTGGCTTGATGTCTCTGCAAAATAAAATAAAATTAATATAAGCAATTATTTATTATATACATATTTAACACGTATATAAAAACTATATATTTAAATATAGGTAAAATAAATAATTCGAAACTCTTGATTACTATAATAGAAGGATAAGAATTTAATTAAAAAATATAACACAAAACTCACAAATATATTTAAAATATTCTATTTTTAAAAGATTAAAATCAGTGATTTATAATGTAAATAAATTACATTTAGTCATAAATTTTATTTAATCTAATTATTTCTCTTTCCAAAAATTTTGACGTACCTATGAATAAAACCTAATTTGTGTATGGAGTCGATTGCTAACGCCGTTTCGGAAATATAAAATTGCGTGCACTCCTCGGAAAGCGTGTCCTTCTTCATGAGTAACGTCATCATATCACCTGTAATTCATCTCGCTTGAATTATTCACGATGCCCAGAAATAGCACTTCCGTTTTCAGTTTGTCACAAAGATCGATAAAAGACTTACCACCGGGAAGAAACTCCATTATTAGATAGAGATTTATAGGATCTTGAAAACTATAGTACATCTTCACGACCCACTGATGGTCCGCTTCCACGAGAACGTCCCTCTCCGCCCTGACGTGCGCAACTTGCTCCTTCTCGAGCATATCTGCCTTCCGGAGAATCTTCATCGCGTACACATGTCCGGTATCCTTCTTCTGTACGAGTCTTACCTGTACATTTTTTTTCGTTTTACAAATCAGTACATTTTGAGTAAAAATACCAGCTAATTTTCGTCAAATGATTAAAAGCATATTTTTCCGTTTAATCTTGAATTTTACGAAAGAGATTGCCACTTGCTTCGCGAAGCGAGGCGAAATGCTATTTCTTCTGAGAAGTAATGAGAAAATTTCACTCTCTCTGAGGTGACTACTGCCCGAGAGTCATCTCGCGTATTTCCATTATTATCGTAATTATTACAATCATAAACAAAAGTCAATCTCTGTCTTTATATTTATAAATCGTATAAATGAATAATTTACACATAACATACGACGAGTATATTATTTAAAATGTCATTTAAACAAATATAGAAAGTTTAATTTAGAGAATATTATTTAAAATTTACATTTCCCGACACAAAATGAGGATGCTTAGTAATATCTATTACTCAACACCTACATTTGTGAAATTTATGTAGCTACGTATCGCAATAAAATCGCACTTTTAACTTTCCGCTAGCCGCATGAATTTTAACTTTTCCATCAGCAATAATTTCTCTTCGAGAAACAGAGCAATTTTTTAATTTTTTCGAATTATATAAAAATCTTAAAAAGTTCTAGTATATTTGTGAACGCTTTAATAATGAATTTTTATCATTATAGAAGTCGGATTGTATTTTACTTATTTTTCACAAATATAAATTTATCTATTAAAATTCAATCAAGTTAATATCAAGCTAATCCCAGCTAATTATAGCACAATTAGACCACCAATACCTAACTTCCTATCTCGCTCGCTGTTATACATCGATGCTTCTTTACCTCGCCAAATGCTCCCCTGCCGATGACCTTGAGAGGTTCGAAGTCCTCAACGCCAAGCCTGGACCGTTTCAGTCGGAGGAATTCGGTCTCCTTCTGAGCATGCTGTTGCCTCTTCTCCTGCTTTTGCTGCTCCGAGAGGCCCTCATCCTTGAGGGACTCTTCGAGCTTCGCCAGCCTCTGCTTCCGCTCGATGTGCTGCGCTATCAGATTGCTGTAGTAGTTCTCCAGCGTTACCTGCAAAAGGCAAAACGCGATGCTCTGATTATCATCATACCAAGCTTGTATGGTCCTCCTCTTCCTGCGATGTCGTCGCTCGAGAGCTCGTAATGCGATCGATAACACTTTATCTTGCACACGACAAAACCACTTCCGCTGGTCTCGCGCGGTTACCACGGTTAGTGCGATTATTATGCTCACCGAGATCAGGTTCGCATTGCGAAACGTTTCAGAGCCAACATTACTTTTCGCTGGAGCAACCGTGAAGACGGAGACAGAAAGAAATTCTCGTATTTTCCAGAGTAAACTGCCATCTTTCTAAATTGAAATTACAACTGTAGATGGAACATGGAAGTTCTATTTTAATTACATTTCCACTTTCAGTTAGCGGAAATATTTGAGATTATGACACAAATTAAAATTTATGTTTCAAGAAAAGCGGATGTGAAGTAAAACAAAATAAAAACAACGTGAAAAATAAAGAAAAAAACTAATCTCATTTTCTATATACTTTTTAAAGAAACATAAATAGAAAAGAGATTCTTGAAAAGTAATATTTAAAATTATGAAAAGGCTGTGATAAGAGAGAAGAAAAAATATCTCAATTTATAAACATCAATCGCCGGAACACGTTTATATTTATGTATTTTATTACCTCTTGTATATTTACGTCTGTTATTATTTATTTATTTGTATTACCTATTCTTTTGTTTATATTATTAGTTTTAACTGTTATTTTACAGATGTAAGTTTTCTACTTTGAATTGTTCTCTTTTCACTGGCATGATTGAGTGAATCACTTCTGTTTTCTTTACTATCATAAATAATTGTATACAACTTTTTACTTTTAAACCTCAGTATTTGGAGATAATGTCTATATAAGCCTCTATCTTTGGATTTTTTATTCAGACCATAATGGAACAATACAACTTTTAATTTTGGAAATCTAAAACTTTATTTCAGTTTCCTTAGTATAGTAGTATAGGACAGAATAAATAATAAATATGTTTTAAAATTTCATGAGCATATTTATGGATAAAAAGAAAGAATAAATAACCCTATAAACGTTAGGTCGCAATTCGTTATTGAGATAATGTTAGTAGCATATATATATAATATAATACAAATAACGACTTTATTTAAACAAATAATGACTTTTTTTATTTTTATTTAAAATTTTCAAGTTAGATTATATTTAAAAGATACTCAATATGACCTTTATTATTATTTTTCACATCCCTGAGTACAATGTATCTATAAGTCATTATAGTCATTATTTCAAATGTATGTGTCCATTACTTTGGTAAGAAAGCATTTGCCATTTAATGTTCATCGGAACATTACTTCTTCCTTTTTATCCGAGAATAAGCTCACAAAAATTTAAAACATATTTATAACATTATAACTCACCCTGTATATTATTTCTTCGTTAAAGAAATGACTCGAAGTTGAGTTAAAATAACGTATAAACGATTTATTAAGTAATTAAGTAATGTAACTTCAAATATATTTTATTGAATATAAATACCACGTACCTCGCTGACTCTCATCAGCCCTTAGATAACTTTTAAAACCTTTTTAAAAAAAGTTTTACAATCTCTCTTCTATAATTATATAGACACGAACATTTGTAAATAGTACTAATTACGTAATTCGTGACCTCATTTCCGTCCAGCACAAAGTGCCAAATTCCAGAAATTTTTTCTCTGTTTATAATTCTCCTAATTTTTTGGGATTTTCACAGTTCTCTAAACTTGTAGCAGCTGTCTTCATTTAAAAAATTTACGCAGACATGCTGACCTGAGCAGCTTTTTTGCAACGATCAACAATTGTTACTAACGAAATTATCGAACATTGTAACACCGACAAACATTGAGTAATCACATAATAATTAACGTACAGAGTAATTAATGGGAAGAATTGGTAAACTTTTGGTTTTTTCTCAAGAAAGTACACATGGTTATTAAGCAAGAAGCGTGTTACGAATTAAGTGGTGATTTTCGCAATTCGAGTAATACAATATGATTGATTGCAAGTATTAATTCACAATCGACATTTTATTTAGGCTTAACACTTTCAGTATTAAATTAACGTTTCTAATTATAAATATATTTTTACTGTAGCTATATAAATTTAGATATGTATATTTATATTAACCGAAATATTCTTCGTAAGATAAAAAATGCTTTTTAGCAAGAGGCACAATGATATAGTAATATAGTGAATCATTTCATCCTTGTTATTTGTCAATGTTAAACAAAGATAAAATAATCAACCGTGTTACGTCGCATGTCTCTTACTGAAAAACATCAATAAATTACACATTTCTCTTAAAATTTCATTTTACAAAGTTTATAGAAATAGCATCGTAAATAGAAATTACCGTACATACCGTTATTTATAATTTTATTCGTAATAATATAATAAACAGACGGAATTGCAAATTTATTACATTATTAACCGTAATCCTGAATAGTGATCGATGGATTAAATCCAACCACGCGGAAATATATAGAATATTGCAATGTTCATCTTGTTAAAACGGAGATTATTAATTAGCAACGGTCGATATTGCTTCTCACATGTCGACTGAAATTATTTTGATGTTGATTCATATATCTTACTTATGCAAATTATGGACACTCAAGGTTCTTTGCCAAGAATGACGATTGGGAATAGAAAATATTATTTATATTAAATAAATATTAATATTACTAAATATATTATTATAAATTATGATATAATACTTAGTTAATGGTTATGATGTAATATCATTCTTTTATTAACTTCTCCTACAGTTCATTTAGTCGACCGACCATACGATAAGTCCATGATCAGATCAAATTTATTATGACATAAGAGCTGTGTTATTACATACATAGTTTGATCACTATATTGTGTAACATGTTTGTTATACAAGTTTCCTCGCGTCAAGCTGAGAAAGTTGGTAAGAAAGTTTAATATTAGTTTATACGTGCCATTCTTAATAAAAAATTTAAGATATTTCAATATATGTTTACAGTATTATTAATATTAAAATGAAAGAATCTTAACACAAATTTAAAAAAATATTAATTCAAAGAAATAAATTAATCATATCTTTATTTAATTTTAAATAAAAATAATAAAAAAACCCAAACATCTAATCTAATCAAACTCTTAAATATCTAATATTTGTGTGTAAAAATTATCAAATTGCGAAAAAATATATATATATATATCTTTAAAAAATTAATTAAAAAACTATTTAATCGTATCACAATGTTTTATAATACTCTATATTGAATCATCTATTTCAAATGAATTGATAAATGCATCAGTACATAGAACAGAATGGCCGCTATCTTAATGGAATAATCAAGTTGAAACTAAATCCGAACTCACCTTGGCCTTGGTCGCCTTGTCCAACGTGTGGCCGCTAAATCGAATCGTGCTCTCGGTGGCCGCCATCTCCAGCACCCCTGCAACGAGCACAAGAAAAGAGGTCATTCAGTGTCATTAGTCTTCAGAGTTAATGTCTCCTAATGCAACTACTTTCAATGAAAATATCGCTTGAACGAATTAAAAGGCAAACGACACCCTTGTGACAACTTGTTATATCGAGGAAGATATCAGCTATTTCTGTGTTAAGTTATAACATGACACTGTCAAAAAATTAATGTATCCAGAATATTATATATTTTTTTGAAACAAAGAAGTAAAAATATAGAAATATTCATTGCATTTTTAATTAAATTTAAAATTTATGGTTCATGTTTAAATTTTTTTGTATTTTAATATATAATGTAAATATATCATACATTAAAAGTTTTATATTTTTCTGAAAATTTGCCATTAGCATATTTTATATTTTTTATATCTTACAAAGTAGCTTTTTTAAAATTTTTTTAAATAAATAAATTATACATAAGAGCTAGAAAATACATACACTAGAAAAAAATAGGAAAATACAGAACTTGATAATTATCACCGTTATTAGAACATCGACGCTGAACACATCTAAGACACTTCATTTTCAATCGATACGCTTAAAGAAAGAGTTTTGTAAGAAGAATTAACCATGTACCGTACGCGTTACACAATAACGTTACACTGTCTGTGAACGTCATTATCTTTTCAGAAACAAGAAAAAAACCAAACACACCCACAAAAGATGACGGAGTATTATAAATGCGCATTATGAGCAAATTATCCCGAGGCAGTTGGACCGTGTATTTCCATTCGAAGGCCGACATGTGGAAAAAGTGAAAACGTTCGTCATATAATTATTTGAACAATTTTAATGAGTCATACTTTTTTGTAATACAGATTTTTTCCTATAAAAAGTACTTTTATGACATCAACATAGCGTAACAAATTAAATATTCCAAACAATTGAGAAATTATTTACTCCACATAATTACCAAATTGTTTTATAAATACGTAATAGTTGGAATTTAAAGAATCTAAAAACAAAACTATTACAAAGAATTTAATACAAATCTAGAATAAATTAAATTCGAATCATATCCTGATTATTCAAACATTAAAAAAAATTAATTTTAATAGATATAGAACCATACTGTAATATATATATCTACATCTTATTCATCTGATGGAAATGTTATAACATTATATTATACAATAATTATTATTAGAGAATAATATTATTTATTCTACTTTTTGTTTTTTTTTTCATTAGAAAAATCTATTATCAGCCCTACAAATAAATATTATATGTTGCCTCATTACTTAATTATTATTATTAATTGTAATTTGACGAAAATAAGATATTCTTACATTTCATTTTCATTAGAGAAAACTACTATCGAGCGTTACAAATAAATATTGTATATTGTCCTTCCAAACACAACAATAGAGAATTGGTTTCATTGTGGTTCCGTTTAATACGTCGTGATACATTGTTTCTACACTATCCCATTTTCCTTCAGAACTTTCTACACTAACCCGTTTTCCTTTGCAATTCAGGATTAAGTGGTTGATGACAGGTGCTCAGGGTGACCCAATTATAACTTACTGTTCCACAGCAAAATCCCTCGCGTGACATAAAGGGAATGAAAGGTCCTTTGTTAATTGTACGTTTTGCAGCAACGCATAATGTGCAGATAGATTTACGACCGTGTGTTAAATATTTGGAATAACGACGCTAACCGCGAAGAGTTTTACGATAGATGTTAATTTGTAATTGCGTTGTAATGCTATTATCGTAATATTGCGGCTAAAATAATTAAAATTTATAATTAGTCTAGGATAGTCGTTTAGAGTGAATAAGTAACAAAGATACGATAATTGTTATATTACGTTATGTGCTTGACACTTCATCGATAATCTTTTAACACGATCAATTATATCAAAATATCTCATTACATACATTATACTAATTATATTTTTTTATCTGATTAAAAACAGAACGGTACGTACAAATAAAACGTATTTACAAAATAATTTGATGATTTGATTATTCATAGAATAGATGTGTCTCCTAACGACAACGATTTCGGTGAACTTTAAATTTTGTGGCAATGCGATCGCCACAAGATAATTTTTCGAATTGCTCAAAATATTCATTTCGTTACACTAAATATTGATGCTACATTTTTTATAGAAAAAAATCTGTATTACAGAAAAGAATGTGATTAATTAAAATCGCTTAGTCAAGATATTTATTCTAAAGAATGCTTATGAAATAAAATCTTTCAAGACAGGGCAAGTCTTCATTGAATACATTTAAAGCAACAACGGAAGTGCCATTACGTTATCAACCTGACTGATGGAGCGACAAATTTCTCGTCCGGCTTAAAAGAACGGCACATTTCGCAACCGTACAACAAGTGTGTTTACTATATCGTAAATGATGGTTCTTCATGAGGGAGGCTTATTACGAGGACATTGTGTGGTGTCATCGAATGAATCATTATTACGCAATCATGCGTTATAAGTACTATACCAGAACTATAATACAATGAGGCGCAAGAGATCCGTTCTATACTGGCATGTGTTTCCTTTTATAAAAGTTGTATGTAAACATTTCGACATTATGTTTTCGCAATGACAGCATAACGTGACTCAGAAATTTTACTGATATAAATATTCACAACACTCTACAAGCAAAATTACGATCAGAAATACTTTGTCTTAAGTGACAAATCTTTCTATCGTATTATAATAAAAAAAGATAATTTTACTGGTATTATTTTATATTAACTAAATGCTTATTATTATTAGATGTTGTGGAATAATACTGATGTATTTTGAATAAATTTTATCTGAGAAATATGACTATGCGTCAACACGATTTAATTTTAATTCGGAAGTATTTTTATTGTTTCAGTTTGTGTTGCAAGTCCGAAAGTAATCGTAATAATTTCCGAGGTAAAATTTATTTAAAATACATATAAATGTCATTATTCCAACATTTAACTATTTGATCGTAATAGGTGCTTTTTTCGTAATTATAATAGTTTATTTATTCATATAAGCAGTCCTGTTTCAAATCTTGATATTATCATTTTGTGTTATTTACTTTAATGAAAGAGACATTATCGTGCATAAGCTTCATTATACTTTAAGGATTTAGTGATATACAGGCTATGTCGGGATTAATGGCAAAGTGCTAAATCGCGTTAATCTGCAGCGCATCTATTTGTTTCGATACTCAATTTAATAGGATCAGCGATAACTGGCAAGCAGCTATTGATCCTTGCAACGTTATGAAACAGTTAATGTGGACATTAGGTAATTTATACGGTTAGCGCACGAAAGCAATTAAAATGCGATAAAATTAATCATTAATAATTCATGTACATCTTACTTATACTTTTCAAGTGCGTAAATATGTTAATGTAGTAAAAAAAAAACTTTTCTACGATTATTTATTACGGTTTTCCTGTGTTGAAGTGTTTAAAAAATTTTAAAGAAGATTGTTAAAGTATTAAAACGTTACATACGTGCGTGGGAGAGTTGATAAAGGTTAATACAATTTCTTTCTCGTATTAATACACGAATTTTGCCTGCAATGCAGCAGAGAAAGGTTCGATGGCCCGAACCGCAATACGGTGGACCTACATACAAGGGTTTCCCCTTGCGGTTTATTTTATGAGCGTTGATTAGACGCGCCTGTCAGGAATATCACGCGTTATCGTAACTGCACTGGACGTTAATTATCTCGGACATCGTATTAATCATCGTTGTGTGATACGTTGCTAATGGACTTGGGACACAACATATTCAACTAAAAGCAGAAACTTATATGCGCTTACTCGGTTAATTTCACTCGTCTCGTTTTTGGCTTTCATGTAAAATGTGACAGAAATTACCAGTATCATTCCTTTCAAAAAGAACTCTTGGACGTGAATATGACATGTACATCAAATAGAATGCTTCCCTGAGGCCCACAGAAAGATTGACTAATGTGTAAATAGACATATGACATACGTCCTTCTACCTTCAAATCGTAAAGTGATATTGATTGTTCTGGTTCCGGACAGATACGTTGATGTATCGGGAAGTGCAAAAGTATGAATCTATTCATATGAAAAAGATTGATCTGAAAAATCATCGAGCGACAGCAAATTCATACTGAAACCTCTTGATTTGTTTATGCTTTTATATTTTTTAATAGCGCCAGCCTCATTATTTTTTGCGCTCTTACATTAATATATACAACATGTATCTATGTATATAAATATTGGAAAATATTTGAGTCGATAGAAACAAAAAACAATCGAGTTTAACAATTTTGGCATTTAATTTTTTAATAATTGTTAAAAATCTCATCTTTTGTTTATTGTGACATAAATCCGTGGCTCATTATTGAGACAATCATATAACCAGAGAAACATTCCCCTGAATGCAAGCATGCATCAGAAATGACGAGACATACAAAAACAACGTTTTTGTTGAGATATGTATTTAAAAATTTAAACAGATATAGAAAATAATTTTGTTAGATTAAAATAATTATAAATAATTATGTACATTGAGAAATATTTTTTTTAACGATTAAATCAATCAAAGGACTTAACAAAAATTATATTTTAATAAGAATAAATAGAGAATTCTTGGTTATCATAAAGTTATCATTAAGATGTAATTTGTGTTGAACTCTTTTGTTAGTTTAATTAGACATTCTTTCAGTTTTTCTCCATTTTTTCCGAGTATGACTATGAGGAATACTAATGAAAGTTTTGACATTCTAACAATCAGTTTGAGCATTCTACATAATTGTTTTGATGGTTCAACAAAATTATTTCCAGACCTAAATCCTTTTAGGTACTTCAGCAGAACTGCTCTTTCTGTGCGCAATAAGCTGAGTTCATTGATAATATCATAACATTTTCAGCTTTCATCTCTGATTTCGTCATAATTTCTACATAAAAACTTTCTTGAAAGCCAACGGTACCTACACACAAACTAGTTCACATTCCAGGAAGACTCTTTGCGTCTGTCGCACGTGGGTGTA